GGTGGGTGTGGGTGCGGAGGGAGGGTGGTGCGGTGCAGAGCAGTGTCTCAGGGCGGAAGGGGTTCCTCAGATCTCAGTTTCCTACTCTACAGGTGCTGAGGGCACATAGTAACCCATGTGAATCATCAGGCGGTATTTGACATTTTGGAAAGACAAGCAGAAATGACCAGGAAGTGGGGTAGCCCAGATAAACATGAATGAAAACCAGTACAGCAAATAATCTTGGTTTCGAGAATTAAAATGTAAAATCAGTTCGGTGAAGATGAGGATTATCACAGGGAAGTAGTTAATGGTCAGAGTAGCTTATAGCCCCAACTGCCGAAACAGTGGCTACACTCTAGAACAGATCAAACTGACAAAGATACCTTGGAGGAGAAGCTCACAGGAAGTATTCAGGAGTTTCTTAGAATAATACATTTGGGAACCAAAGAACAAGCCTTTTTTTGGACTCAGCAATTTGTAATGCCACCAGATTAATTAATGATTTCACAGGAAAAGTGATCATAACTCAATAAATTACACACTTGAGGGTGAGAAATCTGAGTTTAAAACAAGCGTCAAACTTAAATAAAAATGTTTACGTCCAGCAGAGCTTTATCTGGATGTTGCCTGGATTGGTGTGTATTAGCTATAAGGAGAGATTGAACAAATTTGGATTGTCTTTGAGAGAGCATCGGAGGCTGAGGGACGATCTGATCGAAATATATAAAATTGGGAGAGGCAGGATAGAGTGGATAGTTGAAGTCTTTTTCCCAGGGTGGAAATGTCAAAAAGTAGGCAGAATAGGTTTGAGGTGAGAGGGGGTAAGATTTTTACACAGAGGGTATTAGATGCCTGGCACATGCTGTTGAGGGAGATGGTAGAACAGATGCAATAACAACATTTAAGAGATATTTAGACAGACACACGTACAAGCAGCGAATAGAAGGTTACAGACCGTGTGCAGGTAGATGGAATTAGTTTAGAATGGTATCATAGTCAGCACAGATATGGTGGGCCAAAAGGCCTGTTCCTTTGCTGTGGTGTTCTATGTTCTGTTCTATGAAGGTATGAAGATGGAGTTTGTTAAAGTGGTCTGGGGAAATAGGTTAAAAGCTAAGACAGTAGAGAAGCAGTGACAAACACTGAAGGAGATATTTCATAGCTCAACAAAAATATATTCCATTCAGAAAGAACACCGCTTTGAGAAGCATGCACCATCCATGGTGTCAGATTTAAACATCACAAGCACAATGCTGCAAAAATTAGTGGTTGGTAAAGGATTGTTAAACTGTTACAAACCAACAAGAGATGACTAAAAGAATAATAAAAAGTTCTGAGGAAGGGTCACCGGACCCAACACGTTAACTCTGATTTTCTCTTCACAGATGCTGCCAGGCCTGTTGAGCTTTTCCAGCAACTTTGTTATTGTTCCTGATTTACAGCATCCGCAGTTCTTTTGGTTTTTAATAAAAAGGCAGAAATTGGAATATCAGAAATAATAAATAGCATACAAGTAGACAGTAAAAGATTCCACAATACTCAATACTCAAAGGGTATTGCTTTATTTTGACTTCCCAAAAACATTCAATAGTGTCATTTAAAAGTTACTGCAGAAGAGAAGGGCTCATGGTGTAGGAGGTGGTTTATAAACATGAGACAAAATTGATGAACTGATAGGAAACCAAGAGTTTGGCTGAAGAAATGATTGGTAAACCGTAACCAGTAGAGTGCCACTGTACTGGGGCCTTAACTATTCACAATCTGACCTGGAGGTATGGCCATAGAACAGAGTCACCAAATTAGTTGGTGATTCAAGTCAGACAGGAAAGTAAGTTGTAAGGAAGAAACAGAGTCTGTAAAGAAATATAGACAGATTGAGTGAGTGACAGATGGTGTACAATGTGAGAATAGATGAGGTTGTTCATTTTGACAGGAAAAAGAGAGAAGCAGCATGTTATGTAAATGGAGGGGGGTTGCTGAACTCTGAGCTATAGAGGGAGCTGAGTATCCTGGGACAACAAGTCATTAAGATGGCAAATCGAATTTTGGTCTTTATCACAGAAAGGATGGAATATAATGTAAGGAACAAAGCAGCAGGAGCAGGCCTTTCGAGCCCACCCCATCATACAGCGGAAGGGCCGAATAACCTACTCCTTCTCCTATACGATCTCAGGGAACAGCCTGCTCACAAACCAAGTGGGAGAATTAACTTTGCGAACCAATCTACTTCCAGCAGGCTTTGCAGGATAAAATGACAAATCAAAGGAATACTTTCAGTTCCCCCATTGGAGTGTGACTGAGTTGTAACAGAGGTCAGGGAGGGAGACAGGGCCAGCTTCCTGTTAAGGTTGTGTTGATGCAACAGCAGTGAGCCTGACTGACAGAATGGCCTCAGCCTCTTGCCTTTCAATGGAAGACCTTTATTTGAGCTGTGCCTGGTGGGAACCTCAGCTGCCCTCAGAGAACAGGCAAAGGAAACAGCAGGAAGGACAAGTCCCCTCTGCTGCCCTCAGGGGCAAACAGCATCACCAGAGTGTGCCTGAGTCAATCCTCACACTGCACTCACTGCCTCAGAAACTCACATCACTGGAAACTGACTGAGGCACTGTCATTACCTGATCTCTCGCACTCCTGCCCCCTCTGAAGCCATGTCCCAGAGCTTGACACTACTGTCCCACGATCCAGAGCACAGCATGTGGTCCTGTGCTGCAAGAGCCCAAACCCAACCCTGTAACAAGAGCAGAGGGTCACAGTGGTAAAGAACAGGCACAGAAATTCACAACAGAATCTAGTACATGCATTTCCAGAGTATTCTTCATGAGCTCAGAACGTCCCTAAGTGCTTTACAGTGGAGGGAGTCCTGAACTGTAGTCACTGCTGTAAATATAAGAACAGTGGTAGCCAATTTTTACATACTAAGATCCCATAAAACAGTAATATTGACCAGATCAGACTGTTGATTGGACTCTAGCCTCAAATAATGTAACCTGCAAGGTAACCTGTAAGCCTCTAAGTCTTTTTGATCTGTATGTCCTTTGCTTGCTGTAATCTGCCTGTACCACTCATAAACAAAGCTTTTCACTGTATTTCAGTAGATATGACAATAAAATCAAAATTAAATCAAAACATCAAAGACCCATAATACCCCAGTAATGCTCTCCGACAACCTCTTCCATCAGGCCGAAGGTACAGAAGTCTGAACACATGCACCAGCAGGTTCAGGAACAGCTTCTTTCTGGCCGTTATCAGACTGATGAATGGATTCTAGCCTCAAATAATGTACCTGCAATGTAACCTGTACGCCTCTAAGTCTTTTTGATCTGTACATCCTTTGCTTGCTGTGACCTGCCTGTAACGCTCATAAACAAAGCTTTTCACTGTATTTTGGTACATGTGACAATCAATCAGACAATGTGCTTGGGGAATAGTTATTGGCTAGGACCCAGATGGTCCAGCTGAGGGGGTATGGTAATACCAGCTTTTCAAAGGTTTCCCTCACTAGCTGCAGGCCTGCTGTTCAGACGAACTTGCCCAGTGCCGTCATCACCCTCAGGAGCTCCATCTGCAGCCTGTGTGGATGGACAGAGCATGGAACAGGCCAAACATGCACAAAGGTTTATAAAGATAACTGTCAGCTGTTTGTAAGCATGTCCCTGACAATCTGCACACCGTTGACTCATGTCGCTGAGAACCTGTGTTACAGAAACACCGGGAGCTGACACCTCTCTCCTCACCCTGTGAGTCCCCCGTGGTTGGTCTCCGAGAGTTTTCACCAGAACCTTCTCCCCATCCTGCCCTAAACGTCTCAGGTCCCAGATATTCACATTCCGATCCCTGGATCCCGAAACACACAGCGAAGCATTCTGCAGGACAGGAAGTAACAAAACTGTTACAATCTCAACAATCAGCAGTTACTCTGCCTGTGATCACACTCATCAGGATCACACGTCCCAGGACACCATGCAACAGGATTACACACCTTGAGAGCATAAGGATTAGTACTGGCACCCTTATTGTTTGTCATACACATAAATATTAAGCAGGTTTGCAGATGACACCAACATTGGTAGAATAGTTAATACTGAAGAAGATGGTTGTAGATTACAGGAAGATGGGGATAGGTTGATCAGATGGGCAGACATAGTAGCAGATGGTATTTAACCCTGACAAGTGCAAGATGATGCACTTTGGAAGAAGAAACAAGATGAAGGAGTATTTAATGAAAGGAAGAACACTGTGCAGCTTACAGGCACAGTGGAATCTTGGGGTAATTATTCACCGATCCCTGAAGTCAGCAGAGCACATGAATGGGATAGTTAAGAAGGCGTATGGGACACAAGCATAGAGTATAAGAGCAAGGAGGTAATGTTGCAGTTGTACAGAGCATTGGTCAGGCCACATTCGGAGTACTGTGTGCAGTTCTGGTCACTTCACTACAGGAAGAATGTAATAGCACTGGAGGGTGTACGGAGGAGTTCACCAGGATGTTGCCTGGGATGGAGAAATTGAGCTATAAAGAGAGATTAGATAGGCTTGGGTTGTTTTCTTTAGAGCAGAGAAGACTGAGGTGGGGGGGTTGGAACATGATTGGGGTGTATAAGATAATGAAGGGTATGGACAGGATGAATAGGGAGCAGCTGTTCCCCTTGTTTGAGGGGTCAATCATGACAAAGCATTGTTTTAGGGTAAGGAACAGGAGATTCAGAAGGGATTTGGGAAAAAAACATTTTCACTCAGTGGGTGTTGGGAATTGGGAATGCACTGCTTGGGAAGGTAGTGGAAGCTGGAAACCTTACAAACTTTAAAAATTATTTGGGTGAGTAATTCAAATATTATGACATTCAAGGATATGGAACATGTGCAGGAAATTTGGGATTAGTGCACTTTTAGTGGTAGTTATATTGATGCAGACTCCAGAAAGCACAGGCGCAGGCAGACAGGCGGGGAAGCACAGGCGCAGGCAGACAGACAGGCAGACGGGAAGGCAGACACAAAGCCTCTGCCCAGCAACACCAATTCAGAAGTAGGTTTGGCGGGATCACTTGCTAGCAAGTCACCTGAATCAACAAGACAGAGTCGACGGAGGCAAAATGTCCATCGCTCAGTGAGAAATGTTGAACCTTTGGGTTACTGGTGGACCAATGAGACAGATGCTCCTCAAGCTCAATACATGCTGACGGCCAATCAAATTTCTTTCCTATGAAAAGAGGAACTGAATTAGAATGAGACAGATCTGACTCAAAATCCAAGCCACAGCTCCATCCTTAAACTCAACCACCCACTCGCCCACACACTAACCTCGCCCCACCCTCTCTGTCTGAAATTCCCCCACCGCAGTCATGTCTCCGTTAGAGACAGAGACAAAGACAGACAAACAGTGACACAAACCTTCCAACACTGGGTAGCTCAGCCCCAGGATCTTCTGGGCCCGGATTCTCCAAGTCACCTCATCAGTCAGGACACACTGGAATGCTCGACAGACCAATGGCAACACTCCGAGCACAAACCTGGCATCCAGATATGAGCAGATCTCCAGCACCAGCTCCCAGGGGAGGGACAGCAGACCTGACTGACCAGTGTCTCCAGCCAGCACCTGGCTGGAACGCAGTTTCACACTCAGGTCTGAAGCACTTGACTTGCTGACACGAAGTTGGCTTTCGCTGCTTGGCTCTGGGGGGCAGCTTTGGGGTCGAGGGCCAGACATTTCAGGGTTCCGCACCCGGTCCACGTACTCCTGGGCCTGGAGCTCCAGCTCATCCTCCCGCTCTAGGTCAGACTCTCCCTCAGGGAGGTGATGAGGCTGGGTGCTCGGGCTGTCACAGGACTCACTCATCATCATTTCTTCACTGCTCTAGTCTCAGTGGAATACAAGCTGCAAAAACAAACCAAATGTAAATTCACTCAGTGAATCCTGGAAACGAGCCACAGGTTAAAGTAACTCAGACTAGCAAAAGGATGTTTCCCCCTCTCAGGGGAATCTGTAACTAGGGGACACAGAGACAAAATAATTCAACATGAACTCAGCGACAAGGAGGAGCTTCTTTTCTCAGACGATTGTTAGTCTTTGGCATTCTCTTCAACAGGCAATCAAGCCTTTCCCATTCAATTGATTTGAATAAAAACAGGTTTATGATTGTCAAAGAAGTCAAATGGTTATCAGGGTGTAAACAGGAGAGTGGAACTGAGGCCACAGTGATGATCATATTGATTGGCAGAGCAGGCTCAGGGCGTTGAGTGGCTCCTCATTGTGCTATGTTCTGAGAAAGTATTGAAACACTTTTGCACAAGTCTCTTAGTGGCACATTGCATTTCATTAGCTTGCCGGATCACCATCATGACAGCTTGTCCTCGACAATGAGAAATACCTGGCCTGCACAAAGTGAGGATTTTTTCTCAGATCCTGTCGCAGGGTCCTGGGCTAAAAGCATCTCACCCACATTTTAAAAAGCAAACAGATAGTTTGCTGTTCCGAAGATCCTCACACAATCTTTCACTCAATGTACAAAATATGCTTAATGGAACTTCCTACAAACCCATTGATCTGAGGAGACCGGGTGAGTCTTCAATTATTAAACATCAGCTCCTTCGCTGCTCTAAGGGGAGAAATGTTCGGTATTATGAATGAGTAAAGATAGAGTAAATCCAGAGTATGTGAATGGGTGACCAGATGGCACGGATTTAAACTAAATGATAAAATAATTAGAAACAGCATGAAGAAAATAACATTGACACAGTGGGGTGTTGTGATCTGGAACACACTGCCTGAAGGTGCTATGAAAGCAGATACCATTGGAACTTTCAAAAAGGAACTGGATAAATACTGAAGGGGAAAAATTTGCAGGGTTTGGGGAGAAGAGACTGGGCTCATTTCGGAGTCAAAACAGGACAGTGACCTCTATAAGTCATAAGCAACTTGATGAAAAACTCATTCCAATATAAATCAGCTCCTAACCTCAGACCACCAACTGGCAAATCCCTACCCTCAGAAACATAATGCAACAACCCTTCTGCCCTCAGGAACAGCCCGCCTATCCACCCCACAAACCCCTAACCTCAGGAATAGCACCAACCCCCCACTCCGGATTACAGCCTCCCCGCACGCACCTACCCTCAGGGGCAGTCCACTCCCCTGATCCTAGGAACAGACCTCCCCCCACACGTCCCCACTCTCAGGAACTCCTCCACGTCCCTATCCTCAGGAATAGGAACCCCCTTCACTCAGTGACCATCACCTTCCTAACTTCTGAAGCAAACCCCACCTCCATTCTGACCCACAGACCAACCCTCTGACCCCTCCTCCTACCCAGACCCCACCTACTCTCGTTCATCCCCACCCCTCAGTTGCGGCCTGTACTGTTAGGCCGGGCCCGCAGTACGGCTGAGGCCGGGGATTTTCCGCTACCTCAGTCCCACCCTCAGCTTCCGCATTCCCTCCGCCTACCGGCGGCGCAGTCAAAGTACGTCACAGATCTCGGTCACATGACGTGAGGGTCACGGGCCTAAAACGTCCAGTGGCTGACGGCGCGCCTAAGCATTTGACTGGAGGATCAGCCCTCATTGGGCGGGGCGCTGCATGACCTGCCTCCTGATTGGGACAGGGGTACAACGGGCGGGACATTGTATCCACGCGCCTCCTGATTGGAGGGTTGGCCCTTATTGGGCGGGTCGCAGTATGACACGCAGACATGCTCTCCCCCACCCCCAAAACCTGGAAGTCCGGGGTTAGCTAATAGAGGGCCACCGTTGTGGGATCTTGCTGTGCACGAGGGGCCGCCTGGGAAATGGTGTTAGCTATCCTCCAGGTCGTCGCCACCACCCCCCCCCCGCCGCCGGACGAACGGAGCCTCCATCCCCCTCACAGCAGCAGCAGCAGTTTTCCCTGGTACTGGGGTAATAGGGAGAACAGTAAAACACTGTGGGAGCTGGAAATAAAACAAAACACCAAACCAGCAGCAATATTCCCTAGTAACAACTCGGGAAAATGGATCTGATGCTGGCCCCTAGAATAGAGAAGCACCGGGCTTCATTTCTTCACCGCCTTTTCATTGAAACCAACTGCATAAATCACGGGTGAACAAAAAAGGCCCTAAACCATGATCTAAACTTCTTTATAAGGCTACCGCTACTGTATGCGAAAGCTCCCACTATTTAAAAACAAGACGTTGGTTGTCTACCCTTGCAACAATGCTCGCCTTATAAAGCAAACTCACGTCAGGCAATATAAATTAAAACCACTCTCTCTCCAGTCACAACAGCTGATTACTTAGGTTGCCAGCTCTTGGTTTACTTTGCTAATTTTATTGGAAGTGCTTTGTCACAAATCCAGAACAATTGCAAATTACAGGCACTGAGAGCTCCATGCTATGCTATGTACCAGAGAAGATGGTTGAGATAGATACGTTGAAGCTGTAAATGACTAAAAGAACATTATTACAAAAACCTCATTTAGCAATACGAGCATTTGTTGAGCTAGAATCTCAAACTAATGCACTCTAAGCAGAAACTATTACACAAGGTCCTGCACTCTAGTAAAAACAATAGTAATAAGCAAGTAAGAACCAGAAAGGGAATGAGGGAGTACAGAATAGCTGCTGAGCAGGAGTCATAGCAATAAGGAGTACAGCTGTAGGGATCATATCAGGTTGATTAGTATTTTGTATGTGATAGGACTATTCTTCAGAAGCACGAAAAGAATAAATGGTCAACATTAAGCTACCTAGAAGCTTTAAAAAAAGTTTATTCAAATGAATGCAGGGATACGGTAGGGGGATGCTCTTTAGGTGGTGTATGGACTTGTTGGGGCGAATGGCCGAGTTTCTATAAATGTTACGCTTGCAGTAGCTCAAATGTGTCTTGGTGACAAATTTATGTCTAGTCTTGCAGCACCATTGCCAATCAAGTCACAGCAAAGCCTAGACTCCACCTCCACTACAAAACCAAGACTTAAACTTCCATCCTAAAATAAAGAAGTGTCAAAAAATGCAACTCAATTCAATTTCCTGCACAGAAACTGATTTCTAATTATAGACCAATTGACCATGTATTATGTATCTCAAGTTCTGTTAAACTAGGTTACTCCAAAGTGAAAGATATTTCACAATTCCAACATATCTGAAAGACTATAAATGCTGAGTTGAGATGCTAATGTCAAATTATGTCCATCTGCCCAATGGTATATAGGCAGTAACTGGCCCAGTGAAGCCCTTTGATCCAATAGCAGCAAATTCAAAGCTATTTTCAGCACAATTTTTTTTGGGTCTTGTTAAAAAGAATTTTAAGCTGCTCATTTCTTCATCCCATTATTACTGGTTAGGTCTCCATCTACTTCCCAAACCAATGCAGGTTCAGGATTTGGATACAGCAACCCTGCAGGAACAGGAAGAGATCTACTAAATTGAAAGGCATAGATGGGGTGGATAGTCAGAGGCTTGGCCCCCCGGTGGAATGGTTAACTACAATAGGACACAGGTTCAAGGTGGGGGTCAGTTTAGGGAAGAATTGGAGAGAAAATTTTTCAGATGTGGGGAGGGTGCCTGGAATGCACTGCCAATGGAAATGGTGGAAGTAGGTACATTAGCAACGTTTAAGGCATATCTTGATAGACACATGAACAGAGGCAAACAGAAGGATAGATACCACACTTGGGAAATAAGCAGTGGATCAAAATAAGGATTAGGAATCGGTGCAGACTATGTGGGCTGAAGGGCCTGTTCCTACGCTGTATATTTCCAAGGCAGGATAGTGTGGAGATGGCGGTGCCTCCATGAATCTGCTGTCATTGTCCTTCAAGGGCTGGAGGTCATGGGTTTGGAATGTCGTTCCTAAGGAGCAAATCAAGTGCAAACATTCATAAGTTTAGCCTGGTCACTAGCAGTCTGTAGATGTTCTGCTTACACATATCAGCAGATTTAAATCAAGCACTTGGAGCATAGAATGTAGGTTTAATATTGATGAACGCCAATACCATCTGGCGACAACAGCGAATGACAAGAGGAGGCCATCAGAGTTAACAATGCTGCACTCTGCTTCCTAATGTTTCCAATTTAATTAGACCTGCTTCCAGCTCCTGACCCATTCCTCAGATGAAAAGCAGAAGTTGCTGGAAATACTCAAGTCAGGCAGAGTCTGTGGACAGAGAGAGTTAATGTTTCAGGTTGATGACCTTTATGAGCTTCAGCTCCCCAGTTTAAAAAAAACCCTCCAGGTAAAAACTTGGGTGGCTCCCCATTTGTGCTCAGGCCACTATGGTCAATGCAGCAAAATCCTGGATGGAAGCCACATTGAGATCATTATTCTTCATAATACAAGAATAAAAACAAGACAGATGCAAACTACAGTCATGAGAAAACTTTAGTCCTTAAGAAAAAAACATATACAATAATGAAAAAATCTTAGTTAAAGGAAAGGTACAAGCACCTGGCATTACAACAAACATGCTGTACATTTACAAACATACAACAATGTAACACTGCTGCCAGACAGCAGGGAAGAGATAGCTCCGAGTTGAAAGTTCAGCAAGAGAATCTAAGAAACACACAGCTGAAGCATACAGCCCTCAGCACCCACTGTCCCCATCCTTCCCATACCTCACTCATTTAAGCCACCCATTAGTGTACAGACTTTCCATCTCAAATGAGATCTTTGCATAATTCCCCACGCACAAAGTCGGGCAGTGGCTGTTTTGTTCTGGTCAGCTTTCCCTCTGGTCTCTCCCTCTCCACGGACAGAAAATGAATTAAACAAAGAATGACCTCCACCTCAATGCTGTACCAAAATACCAATCACATGCTCCCAGGATCACAGTCAGTATTTCAGTGAAGGAATGGGGTGTTGAAACAGTGCTCAATTTTTGGATTTTCCCACTCAAATCCAGACTGGTCATAGTGACAGGGACACACACAGGGAATGGCAAAGGGCACAACATGAGACTGCAGCCTGTCACGATATTCCCTTAACTTCCAGTTAAGACAGTCCTGCTCATTCTCTATTCATTTTGTAAACACAACCCCCACAAAATCAAGTTAGTTTTCTCAGTCTGAGTAAAAACAAATAATTGTGATCCACCACAAAAAGGGTGATTAACACCAGTGTTAGGGCACTCCACCTCCAGGAGGAGTGTTCCTCAATGAGGAACATTCTTGAGCTGGAGATGTCTTTGACAATTGGGTGGCCAAGGAAAAGTCTCACAGCCAATCAGCTCAATACAAATTCCCCAGTGGCGAGCTCCCACTGGGAGGTGTACCACAACTCCAGAGCTCACTTAGCTTACTTTTCTCCAGCCCACCATCCCCACCCTCAGACGGATTTACTGCTATGACAGAGGACCTAGAATTCAAATTCAAAGTATGCTTCAAATGATTTATTGAAAAAAAAAGTGGAATTGTTACAAGTAAACATACAAGTCCCATAGAAAGCTGTCATTCCTCAAATGGCTTCCACACAACATGGGACAGAGGACACTGACAGTCAGATATACCTTTACCCCTACTACAAACATCTGCAGCAGCATCATTAACAGAAAAATCGGAAAGTATCTTTCAGACAATGAACTCTGACAAAGAGTTTCAATTCTCCCCCTTTTCAATAGAAATGACCAACTGCATAGAAACCTGTGATTCCATTAAAACAAAGCAGCCTGATTGGTCTCTTGTAATTTTTTTTTGCTTCCCACCCCATCTCACCTCCCCCTCTTTCAGTCATAAACAGGTTACATCTTGATTACACCAGCATGACAAAGATACAATGCTGTTTATTTTTATGAATGATATTTAGGAAGATACACTGTATTGCGCATGCAACATTCACAGCCCACAAACAGCTAATCAGAGAGCCCCAAATTACAGCTAGATAAATCCAATCACTTGGGTCCAGAGGACAGGCAGAGGAACAATATCAACAGATTTACCCATCTCTCATGCTCATTCTCACTTCAGTGCTGTTGCTGAGGCCACAGCTATCAATTAAACAAACATTAATAAATTAACAGACACACACAATCGATTGGCAGGAAGATCAAGCACAGAAATAAATCAGAATAAAAGCAAAATACTGCTGATTCTAGAAGTCTGAAATAAAAACATGTAGCATTGGAGAAACTCAGGCCCAACAGTATCTGTGGAGAGAGAACAGTTAATATTTTTTAAATCTAATAGGACTTTTATTTGTGACTCTGAAGAGTCAAGTCATTTGGACTTGAAACGTTAGCTTTTTCCTCTCTCCCTCTCTCCACAGAGGCTTCCAAGACCTGCTGAATTGCTCCAACACCATGTTATTATTACAGAATTCATCAGCATTGATCGGAACCAACAAGGATATTTCCCCACTCAAAAGATTTTAGGTCACATTAGTGAGATCAGGGGAATCAGCTTAATAATTTTCCCCACAGGGAATTCCATACCCAACAGTGCCTGAAAAATCTCCATCAACCCCCTGGTGTTGCCTGTTACTCCTGCCTCGTGACAACAGTGCACTGCTCCTTCAGGGGATATCCTAGGGTCTGTTTCCACAGCCAGGTTCAAACAATTACACACCTGAGCGGTAAGAATCCCTGTTTGTAGGAAGTTCAAACCCTGACATCAACCAAATGCAATGAGTAGAGATCCTTCAAGATTAGAACAATAAAAAAAGGAAAATTTGAGGACTATG